TCACTTAGCATGATATTCTCCAGCTACATCCGTTTACCTGCAAATACCATAATTTCATTCTTCTTTAAGACTGAGTAAGAGCTGGGGTTGTGGTTCCATGGTTGGGTGCTCACCTAGTATGTGCAAGGCCCTGGGTTCAATATTTGGCATCAAATAAAAATAAATAAGGGAATTGTGTCCAACTATAACTAAAAAAATAAATATATTTTTTAAAAATACTGAGTAGTATTCCATTGTGGATATGTAACACATTTTCTTTATCCATTCATCTATTGAGGGACACCTAGGTTGGTTCCATAGTTTAGCTGTTGTGAATTGAGCTGCTACAAACATTGATGTGGCTGTGTCCCTGTAGTATGCTGATTTTAAGTCCTTTGGGTATAAACCAAGGACTGGGATAGCTGGGTCCAATGGTGTTTCCATTCCCAGTTTTCCAAGGATTCTCCATACTGCTTTCCATAATGGTTGCACCAATTTGCAGTCCCAGCAGCAAAGAGTAAGTGAACACAAGGGAGATATGTACGGCACAGTGCTGTCACATTAAGTAACTGCTCAATAATAAATGCCAGGGCTGGGGATGTGGCTCAAGCGGTAGCGCGCTCACCTGGCATGCGTGTGGCCTGGGTTCGATCCTCAGCACCACATACAAACAAAGATGTTGTGTCCACCGAAAACTAAAAAAATAAATATTAAAAAAAATTCTCTCTCTCTTTAAAAAAAAAAATAATAAATGCCAGCCTATGTATGAGTGTGCCTTTCTCCGACGTCCTTGCCAACATTCACTGTCACTTATATTCTTGTTTTTTTTTTATGGGTTGTTCAAAACATTACAAAGCTCTTGACATATCATATTCATACATTTGATTCAAGTGGATTATGAACTCCCATTTTTACCCCGTATACAGATTGCAGAATCACATCGGTTACACATCCACGTTTTTACATATTGCCATACTAGTGACTGTTGTATTCTGCTGCCCTTCCTATCCTCTACTATCCCCCCTCCCCTCCCCTCCCCTCTTCTCTCTCTACCCCATCTACTGTAATTCATTTCTCCCCCTTGATTTTTTTCCCTTTCCCCTCACACTGTCACTGATATTCTTGATAATTGCCATTCTGACTGGAGTGAGATGGAATTTCAATGTAGTTTTAATTTACATTTCTCTAATTGCTAGAGATATTGATCATTTTTTCATATATTTGTTGATTGTGTTTCTTCTTGTGAGAAGTATCTGCTCAGTTCCTTATCCCATTTATTAATTGGGTTATTTGTTATTTTGGTGTTACGTTTTTGGAGTTCCTTATGTATCCTGCAGATTAATTCTCCATCTGAGGTGCAAATGGTAAACGTGTCCGTGTCCCCCCTCCCCCCTGTCTGTAGGCTCTCTCTTGACGTTATTGATTGTTTCCTTTGCTGAGAAGAAGCGTTTTACTTTGAATCCATCCCATTCACTGATTCTTGCTTTTACTTCTTGTGCTTTAGGAGTCTTGTTAAGGAAGTCAGGTCCATAGCCATCATGGTGAAGAGCTGGCCTGATTTTTCTTGTATTAGGCGCGGGTCTCTGTTCCAGTGCCTAAGTCTTGGATTCATTTTGGGTGTTGTGCAGGGTGAGAGATAGGGGTTTAATTTCATTTTGTTACATATGGATTTCCAATTGTCCCAGCACCATTTGTTGAAGAGACTATCTTTTCTCCAGTCAATGTTTTTGGTGGCTTTGTCTAGTATGCGATAAATGTAATTATGTGGGTTTGTCTCTTTGTCTTTTATTCTGTACCTTTGGTCTATGTCACACTTATTCTTTATACTTGTGTCTCTCTTTACAATTTTTAAATTTTTTTTAGTTGTAGATGGATCCATTTATCTTGATTATTTATTTTTATGAGGTGCTGAACCAGTGTTTCACATGGGCAAGGTGAGCACTCTACCACCGAGCCACAACCCCAGCCCTTCCCTCTGCTTCTGTAAGATACTCAAGGATGGTAAAAACGTTATAGTTCTCTCCAGATGCCCCTGTGCCTCGAATGACCTTAAGTGGAGCTGCATGGGAGGACCTGTGCAACACAACCCTAATGGAGTTTCCAAATGCCTGGCAAGTGGGGGAGGGTTATACAAGAGGCTACCTTCTTTCATGAGCATCCAGGAACTGAGGCTCCTGTTTTTTAAGGCCTTCATAGAGTTTCTTCATTTACCCCCAAAGTGGTACTGAATAAAAAATAACTGTGAAAGGAAAAATTCCAACTTCCTCTTTCACAAACATAGTCATGCCTTGCTGAGCAACGGGGTGGTGCCCTGAGGAAGGCCGCTGGATGATTTTGTTGTGGCACAAATATCTTTGAATGTACTTACACAAACCTAGATGGTATTGCTTGTGAAATGCCATATGCATATATGGGTATATTGTCATATATACGTCCATCACCAGCTCAAATGTTTCGTGGTATGTGAGTGCATATTCAATTTCAAGTTTTAAAAATGATGCTTTTTAAAATCAGGTTATTGAATTTGAGGGGGCTGGTTGGTGGTCTTGGTTTTTGCTATTGAGCTAGTGGAGTTCTTACATGTTTTAGAAAGAATCCCTTATCTGATATATGGTTTGCAAATATCTTTTCCATTCTGTAGGTGGCCTTGTCACATGTTGGTTGTTTCTTTGGCTGTGCAAAAGCTTTTTAGTTTGATGTAGCCCCATTTGTCTCCTTTTGCTTTTGTTGTTTGTGATTTTTGTTGTCATATCCAGGAAGCCATTACCAAGGACAACGTCACACTTTTTTTAATATTTATTTTTTAGTTTTAGGTGGACACAATATCTCTATTTTATTTTTTTTATGTGGTGCTGAGAATTGAACCCAGTGCCTCATGCATGCTAGGCAAGCACACTACCTCTTGAGCCACATCCCCAGCCCGAACACACACACTTTTTTTTAAATGGGCTAAATACTTGAATAAACATTTCTCCAAAGAAGATATATAGATGACTAACAAGTATATGGAAAGACACTCGCATCACTGATCATCAGGGAAGTGAAAATCAAAGCCACAGGAGTTGTCACTCACATCTGTTAGGGTTGGAAGTGCTGGCATTGGCAAGGATGAAGAGAAATCAGAGCCTTGCACACTGTTTGTGCAAATGTGGAATAGTACAGCTGCCATGGAAAACAGTGTGAGGTTCTTCAAAAAAATTAAAAACAAATTTACAAAATAATCCAACCATCCCACTTCAAAAGAACTGAAATCAGGATCTCAAAAAGATATTAGAATATTGTAGCATTATTCACAACAGCCAAGATGTGGAAACAACCTAAATATCCATCCATAGATGAATGGATAAAGAAAGTGTGATATATTCATAAAATGAATATCATTCAGGCTTTAAAAAGAGGGAAATCTAGCTGAGTGAAGTGGCCCACACCTGTAATCCCAGTGATTTGGGAGGCTGAGGCAAGAGGATCCAATGTCTCGGAAACTTGGACAGTCCCTGTCTCAAAAGAAAAAATTTTTTAAATGGGCTGGGAGTATAGCTCAGTGGTAGAGCCAAGCACAACACCCTAGGTTCAATCCCCAGTACCAAAAAGAGAAAAGAAGAAAAGAATCTGCTGTGTTTGACATCGTGAATGAACCTGGAAGACTTAGGGTGAGTGAAAGAGCCAGTCACAGAAGGTCAAGTGCTGCATGATTCCACTCACACGAGGTAGATAAAACAGACACATCCGAGGATTCAGAGGGTGGAATGGGTGGTTCAGGCGTGGGTGAGACAGGGAGTTGACAATTTATAGGCACAGAGTCTCAATCATGTCAGATGAATAAGTTCTTGTTGAGACTTGCTGTACGACATTGTCCCAATGTTAACAACACTGAACACAACACTTAAATTTTACGAAGAGGGTAGATCTCATGTTAAATGATCTCTTCACAATGAAATAAAAAATGTTTTTAATTATTCTTTTTCTTCAACTCATTTTTGAAGGATGAAGAGAAATTCGCAACCACATTCTGTAGAAGGAGAGATTCTGCCCTCAAAGAGGTATGAGATTGGAGGAGCGCGGCAAGGTGGTCGGGCGGTTGGGCGGCAGGGAGACTGGCAGCTGCTCTTTCTCCCTCTGCACTCCACGCTTCAGACTTCTAATCCAAGCTGTCGCTTCACTTCCCAATTTCCAATTGACATCCTTCAGATGTACATTCTGGGTTGATGCCTAAGGACATTTAAAAATAGTTTAGTGCTGAGCAAAAGCTAAATATATTCCCAGAATTCCTATGCTAATCAATTATTTATCCCTTACAAATGCTAAGATCAAGAATGAAAAAAGTTGTATATTTCAGCTTGACAGGAGGTCTTAGGAGACTAGCAGGAATAAAACCTTTCAAGTCTAAAGTGAGTAAAATGGGTGAAAATGAGCTTCCCTGTTCAGTTATACATTATCTAAACAAGGTAAAGAATATTCCTTTGCCACCAGTAGTTAAATGCAAATGTATAATTAATGAGGGATTTATAATTTATGTGGAATATTTTAGTCTCCTACATGAGAGTCATCGGGACTTTCTGACATAACTGGTGAATGTGCTGTGGTATTGTCATACTTTGCCCCTCTCTTCTGTTTTAATACAAAAGGTGATAAGATACACTTAATTCCAACTCTAAGTAGCATCATTTTGTCCCTAAACTTCCTAACTTTATATACATAAATTTTTAAAAAGTACTTTGGAGGAGAGAGTGAAGTCTTTATTTTTATTTGTTTATGTGGTTCTGAGGATAGAATCTAGTGCCTTACCTCTGTGAGGCAAAGGCTCTACCACTGAGCTACAGCCCCAGCCCACACATACATTTTTAATAGACTTTATTTTTCAAAACAATTTTATACTTACAGAAAAATCAAGAAGATAGTACAAAGAATTCCCAGATACCAGGCACCAGTTTCACTTATTATTAACATCTTACCTTGGTATGATATATATTTATTGCATTTAAAACACAAATATTAATACATCATTGTTAACTATTAAGTCTGTACTTTATTCTGATTTCCTTAAATTTCCCCCCAGTGGTTTTTTTTTTGTTTTGTTTTGTTTTGTTTTGGTTACAGAAGATGTGACCACTGAGCCACATCCTGAGCCCTGTTTTATATTTTATTTAGAGACAGGGTCTCACTGAGTTGCTTGGTGCCTCGCTGTTGTTGAGACTGGCTTTGAACTCGTGATCCTCCTAAGGCTCCAAGCTGTACAGGCTTGCATCACCATGCCTAGCTTTTTTTTTTTTTTTTAATTGCTGATGCCGAGGATTGAACCCAGTGGTTCTTTACCACTGAGCTGCACCCCCTGACATTCTTATTTTTTATTTTCAGACAGGGTCTCACTAAGTTGCCCAGAGTGCTCTCAAACTTGGGATCCTCCTGAATTGCTGGGATTACAGGTGTATGCTGCCACATCTGACACTTTGATGTCCTTTTTCTGTTCCAGGATCCCACCCAGGAAAAACCATGTCACGTTTAGTTGTCCAGTCTCCTCAGGCTTCTCTTGGCTGTGAGAATTATACAGACGTTGCTTGGTTTTGATCTTTGGAGTTTTGAGGCATACTGATTAGGTATTTTGTAGGGTCTCCCTCTGCTGGAATCTGTCTGCTGTGTTTTCTCACGATTAGCATGGGATTATGTGTCTACCCCACATATGTGTGTTTGGGGGAGGGAGACCAGAGAGGCAAGGACCATCCTTACCACATCGTGTCACATTGTGGGAAAGGTCATCAGCATCACCCCCTGCACCTGAGGAGGTATTTGTCAGGTTCCTCCACTGTGAAGTTACTTCATTTATGTATGATATTTGGGGTGCTGGGGAATCAAACCCAAAGCCTTACACATGCTAGGCAAGTGCTCCACCACTGAGCCACACCCAGCCCACAGTCACTCTTCCTCTCCTCTCTTTCCATGCCGCCCTCTTTGGAAGGCAGTCACCATGTGCCTCCCTGTGAGCGGGGAGTTATGCTCCATCTTGACATCAGTTTGTCTACATAAATTATTTTAAAGTATTCTGCATGAGAAATGTGTCTCGTCTTCTCCAGTTATTAATTTATTCAACTGCTTATTTATATCACTGTGAAATCATGGATATTTATTTTGAACTTTGGGATGTAATCTAGTGCTACCTACGTTATTGATTAGATTATTCCAGCTTTGGCCTTTGGGAGCTCTTTCAATTGCCTCTTGTGCACCTTCCACATACCTCCATTAATGTGAGACTTTTGTCTTTTTAGCACTTCATTACATTCCATACTACAAGATGCTCAAGGCTCATTTTGTATTCTTCCTGCTATATTTAGTAAATCACAAAAGATGGCTTTCTTCCTTATCTCTCAAAGTTGTTCTGGAGCTGCTTCAGTTTCAAGAACAAAAATCTAAATACTTTAACAAAACCAGAGATAAAAACCAAAATATATACATAGGCTCCAGAGAAGTGTGCTGCGCAGGGCTACCATCAAGGAACTGAGCATGAAAACAAGGGGCTTGAAGCGCCCTGAGGATTCGCATCCTTTCTCTACCTTCAGACCAGATCATGCTAAGACATTTAAACCAAACGGAAGGGACAAGGGCACAATAACATGCATACATGTGTTTATGTGTGTGATTCTGCTAAGATTTTTGTCACATTATATAAATTTATGGAAACATCACACTGCATCCCATAAATATGTACAATTATTATGTGGCAATTAAAAGCCAAACTAGGGGCTGGTTGGAGCTCCGTGGTAGAGCAGTTGGCCTAGTACATGCACCATCCTGAGTTGGATCCCCAGCACCAACAAAATAAAGCAAATAAGAAACTTTAAAATTTTTTAATTTTGGCTTACAAGTAAAGGCAAAGAAAACTCACACTGGCGTGGCTAATGCAGACAAGAGCTGAGGTCCAGATTCAGGTGAGTCCATCCTCGGCAATGGGCAACTGTGGCCAGGACCCACTCTTCTGCCTTGGGCTCCACTGGATGCTGCCAGGTCTTTCACCCTCCGTGTACACAGGGTGTGACCACAGCGGCTGCAATTCAGCTCTCACACCCGCCAGCACACCACGCTCCGCCTCTTGCTTTTGTACCGATCAGTATTGAGTCTATACCTTTCATGTCTTCGTACAGATCTGTCATGCCCTGAGTGTGCCACATACCAGTTACAGAAAGTCACATAATTTATGAAACCAATCACCTATATACAGACATTTATATATGCAGTTATTTTTACTTTTTCCTATTATAAAGAGCTAATGTATATCCTTGCACACAGTCCTTTATTTATATGTGCTAGTATTTCTGAAGGAGAGATTCTTAGAGAGGAATTGAGGGGCCTAAGGATATTAGCTGCACTCTTTTAAACCTTCTAGAAATAAAGATTTGACAGTGGTGAATTTGTCAGCCAGCTCTTACTTCTCCATTTTATTCACACTATTAAATACTTAGTTTCTAATTAAAATATATCATGTTGATGACAATTCCATTATATGAGGGAGTTTGGGGAAACTTATTTTCCTTTGGTCCTATTCTCTTTTAAATTATCTACCCACATGGTTTTAGCTTTTTTTTTTTCCTCTGAAATTCTACTATTCTTAGATGGAGGATGTATCTGAATGGACCCCATGTTTCCTCTAAGATAACATGGTCATTTTTCACTGTCCCCTTCCCACACCATCAGAATTGTTTTATATAGCAGTCCTTTTCATTTAACATTCTTGGGTTTTTGTTTTGTGTTTCATTTTGGCTCTGTGGATTGAACCCAGGGGTGCTTAACCACTGAACCACACCGACAGCCCTTTTTATTTTTTATTTTGAGACAGGGTTTCACTAAGTCAATTAGGACCTTGCTAAATTGCTGAGGCTAGCTTTGAATTTGCAATCCTCCTGCTTCAGCCTCCCTAGTTGCTGGGATTACAGGTGGGTGCCACTGGCCTGGGTGAAAACTCTTTTGAACGGCCTAATTTTCAACAAAGCAAGTAAAGGAGCAATTTGATGCTTTGTTTTCCACAGAATGAGACCTCCAATAACGAGCAGACAGTTCAATCTTCTTTGTGTTTCCTGGGCTGGTTTTGTATCTCATTTTGGGGAAACATGACTCAGTTTCCCCACATGGTCTGGCATGTGGATCTCCCTACCCTAACGATAACATCCACCCCTCTTAGCCACTTCCTCCCCTCCCAATTTCTGCTTTCCTAAAAGCTTCCTGTCTTATCCTCTGCTAGTGTGAGCATGTCTGTAAGAGGAGCACCTGTTTTTTACAGAGAGGACCTGTGAAGTACAAACAGTACTCTGGAACAGGCACACCCCTATTTCCTTCCCTTACCAGGAGTCATGTGTTCCTGGGGCGCACAGGCCATTTTCCACATCTACATACATAAAGTTCATTCCGTTGGGCATCCAGGTTCTGTGTGTGGCCAAATCACCTGGTGCTGCATGATGGGTCCGCCCAGTGGCACCAGCAAGACAGGCAGGTGTCCCAGTGT